CATGTATGTTCACTTTCTAATAAGCTGTGTGTGTGTGTGTGTGTGTGTGTGTGTGTGTGTGTGTGTGTGTGTGTGAGTGTGTGAGTTTTATTTTGCCCTAATGCTCACAAGTCAGTTTAGCCAAGCAAAATCACTTGGCCACTGTGTGGAGGCCTGGACAGATGATTGAATAGAGCTCAGTGACTGCTGTAATAATCCAGATTTGAAAGGAAATTGAGTGAAGGGAGATAAAGCGATGGAAAGGAAGGGGCAAAACCAGAATGGTCTAGTTATCAGCTGGTGAACTTTGTCTTTATCTTCTAAGTTTATCTTCTTTAAGCTTTCTAAGACCCATTATTCATACTTGCATTCTTATCATCGTCTGCCCATCAGTGCACTAAGGCAAGCCTCAGAATATCGCGGGGGCGGGGCAGGGAGCGCTGACGGGCAATGGCTGTGTGCAGTCTTCACAAATGACGGTGGTGGTCTAGCTCTGCCAAGCACACCATCTTCTGACTCCTGTCCACTCAACAGAATCTTAGTTGCCATTTTCATGTACAGAAGTAACGTTAGTACCAACGAGGAGCTATGACCTGTGAGGTGAGCATTCTCTACATACAAACCAATCGTGTTTGGAGACACATTAAGGCAAGTTAAGTGCTATTAGATTCTTACTCTGGTACAACAAACAATGCTGCTGAAGTTATTTGACAGGATTAATTAACTGGCCTAGGATAGAGTTTAAAACTTACTTCTTACATTCTAGATAAGAAATTGGCACTGCATTCCCCTGCATTTTATAAGTCCAGCTGACTAATGCTGAAAATGCCATCTTCCCTCAAGCTTGGTTTTCTATCCACCTGTAAAATGAAAATAGTTATATAAATTGTAGTGAGGATTAAAGATAATGTACCTGACTTATGTAGGTAGCCAATAAATGGCAACTATTATTAGTAAGCACTTAAGATTTCCAGAAATGAGGATACATTAAATTTGAAACTTTTATACTTTGCTCAGCATTTTCCATTAAGCTACTGAAAACTGCAATAATTAACATGTCTTGAACCAGCCCCTGTGCTATGTGGGTGCATGCTTTATTTCATTTAATACAATAACCTCACATCTTATGTTTTACATCCCTGGTGATATTCTCTTCTGAAATCTTCCTTATCTGGCATGAAAATAGACACTTCAGCTGTTGATAAGTGGTAGCATGTAACAGTTTTGCCAATATTTCTACTTTTAAACTCTATTTTTATATTTAAAGTGCGTTTCACAGGCACTATATAGTTGGCTTTCAATTTTATCCAATCTCACAAATCCCCGCCTTTTAATTGGGGTATTGAGACCATTTTAGTTAGGTTTTCATCCATAATTTTGCTATTGACTTTCTATTTTTTTTCCATATGTTCTTTTTCTGCCTTCTATTGGATTCCTTATATATTTTTTATGACTGCATTTTATCTTCTTTGTTGGCTTATTAGGCATAATTGTTTTGTTTAGCGACTGCTTTAGGGTACAGTGTACATCTTGATTTATCATAGGCTATTGTACCTTGAGCTTATCTCACACTCCCTCATTGGCTGTCCATCTTTGGTGCCTATATTCTTTTTTTTTAAAGATTTTATTGGGGAATTGGGGGAGGGGAACAGCGCTGGGGAAATCGGGGGAAGGGAAACAGACAAGTTGCTATTGATTTGTTCTTCAGTCTAGCTGTGGAGGATGTTGCTTCACTGGGCCAAGCTGGCACAATCATTGAGCTCTGCCCGGGCCAGGCAGATCAGTCGCCGGCTTCTGGACAGCTGCTCACAGCGGCTGCTGGCCGCTCATGCTGGCTGCTGGCCACACACGGTAGCCCATGGCAACCACTGCAGCAGGGGCTGCAGCCTACGCTGTCGCCGCTGGCGACTCACAGCAGCCCAGCTCCAAGTTGAGCTGTTGTTCAGCATCTTAGCTGTAGAGGGCAGTATCACTGGCCCTCATATGTGGGATCCGAACCAGGGCCCTCTGGCGTCCCAAGCCAGTTCTTAACCAACGCGCCACTCGGTGCCCATATTCTTATATCACTAGACTATACTACTCGTACTCCTAATCCTGCAAATTGTCTGTCACTTGCTATTTATTATGTTTTGGTTTTTTAAGGTAAAACTAACAAATTCCAGAGGAAAAGACTTCTGTGGTGGTGTTATAATACAGGAAAATTTTGTACTGACAACAGCAAAATGTTCACTGTTACACAGAAATATTAGTGTGAAAATAAGTAAGTATTTTAGCATTCATTTTTATAAGATCACATTGGAAATAAAAACTATCCTGTGTAGAAATGAAATGAAAATTTAAAAACTAGAATTTTGTTTCTAATGCAGTACAGAACTGAATTTAGCATCCATATTACTGAGATACTTATAAAATCAGAAAGCATATATAAACTACCTAGCAGAATGTCTGGGCATAGCAGGCAGGCGAATGCTAGTATTTAGTCAAAAGAGGAAATCACAGCCAATCAAAATGTAACTTAATTTGACTCTGAAATGGAGCGGCTGTGGTATAGGAGACAGACAACTGGTGGAAAATAGGACGCTCTGGGTTCAGATCCCCCTCTGCTGAGACCATGGCTGTAATGTGGGACTCACCACTCAACTTGTCTGTGCCAAGTTTCTCATCAGTGAAAACTGGACAGTAATTTCTACCCTGTACGGAGGTCACAAAGTTTCAGTGATAATCTGTGAAAGTGCTCTCTCATGATTCTGAAAAAACTTAAGTACATTTTATACCTCATCCTTGGATATTTTTCAGTCAACAAAATGTTAGCCTGAAAAATTACTTTTGAACAGCCAAGTTTTTATTAGCTTGAAAAGTTCCTCATAATTTCTTCCTACTTTTGTTGACTATTTCACCAAGCCACCCAAAAAATTTCATTCTGATTTTTTTCTGTAATGAAGAGCGTGAGGCAAGGCCATAGGAATTAGTTGAAGTGCTTCATTCTTTGATCTCCCTTTCAATCCACAGATGAAGAAAGGAGGTCAGTGCAATTAGCCATGGCATGTTTTACCATGCCCAGCCTCTGACTTAGTACATGGTTCACTAAAGAATTAATCTATTATTTTTGCAACCTTGAAAAGCAGACTTTAGAAACTGGCGATTGTCCATTATTTCAGATTTTCACAGAACGAATGAGGACCTGCTGATTGAGGTGAAGAGCATCCATGTGCACATGAGGTACGAGGAAGAGACCGGGGACAATGACATTTCGCTCTTGGAACTGGAGCTGCCCATCCAGTGCCCGGACATGGGGCTCCCTGTCTGTAAGCCCGAGAGGGACTTTGCAGAGCATATCCTCATCCCAGGAACAGGGGGCCTCCTCACTGGCTGGACACTCAATGGCTCTGAGCTGGGCAACACGCTGACGCAGATGCCAGTTACGCACATGGACAGCGAGGAGTGTGGCAGAGCCCTTAATGTGACAGTCACAACGAGGACATACTGCGAGAGGGGAGCAGTGGCCAGAGGGGTGCAGTGGGCAGAGGGCAGTGTAGTCGCCAGAAAACACAAAGGTACCTGGTTCCTGACAGGGATTCTGTGTTCAGCACCCGCAGAAGGGTACAGACGTGTGTTTCTTCTCACCAAGATTTCAACATACTCACTCTGGTTTAGACAAATCATGAACTGACTAAACCCAGCTAACCAGAAAGAAAAAAATATGCAGTAGGATTCCAAATTTTAACTGCAAGCATGGAGTTAAATTGAAATTTCACAGCAAAAAGGTTGTGACAGTTTCTGAACAAGTTACCCAGTCTACAAACCATTGGTTATCGCTTATGGGCTCATCAGAGTGCTGTGACAGTTCTTTCCTTGGGACTTTTTTTTTATTTTTATCTAAACAAAGATCTTAAGAAAATACGAGATACATTAAAGAATAAAAACGTATCTGTTGATCATAATAACTCAGTTTCTTAAAAACTCTCTCCTTTTCCAACTCTAATGCTTTCTGATGCTATCGAGTCAATGAACGTGGGTTAGTCTATCAACAAACATACAATAAGTAAGTGTATGTCTTTGGGATGGAAGCTTCTAAGAATTGCTAGTTATAGACAAAGAGTGACCTCACAGTTGTGCCAGGTTCGCTGATTGCCAGTGTGCATGAAAGGGTTGCTTGGTGTTAGAAGAAGCAACTATAACAGAAGAGGTAGCACCAAAGAAAAAAATAAAACCGAGAGGAATACCATACAGTTTTAAAGAAAGAATCAGGAAGCACAAGAGGTTGAAAGAAGACAGAAAATGTGATGCATTTAAACAGGGCTATGTGCTCAGAGAGGCACTTCCCATGGAGGGAAAACTCCCAGGCAGGTTCCAGGGAGCTGCTGGATCAGAGCCAGCACCGAGTCCCTCAACTCCGCTACTCAACCAGCTCGCTGGTTCTGTTAACACCTTTGTGCCACATTCCTGGGATCTAAATGCTGTAATAATAGCATCCACCAAACAGAGCTGAGTTGAAAGCTGGAAGCGTGTTGAATCACAGTGATTATCTATTATCATGATGAAGACTGCAGCCTCAACACAGAATGACAGAACTCAAGTCCGGCCCCAAACTGTGCTTCCCTGCAGAGCAGAACTCCATTCCACACTGGGGTCTGAGTTTGTGCCAGGATAAAAAGTGAGAGCAAATGGATGGAAATGTTTACTTTTAGGTTAATCTCTTAGTGCTTAAGTTAAGGAACTGGCAAAACTGCTCCTCAACTAAGTGCATATTATTTCCAGTCCCCCCGTTTCCCTGAGAGAAATAAGAGCAGCTTTAAGCTAACTGCTCTGTAGACCCGCAGACGTGGTGGAAAGAGGGCAGCGCTAACTCCAGGAGCATTACTAGGGGGACTGTGGTCTGCCAGTGCCTTCTTATTGTTGAAGAGTAGAGATAATTTTAAGGGATTATAAATGTGAGTTGATTTGGACACTCTTGAGTGAACTACAGGGAGTTTAAACACAATTCAGATTTTTAAGTCTAACAGTTCTAAAATACACTAAGTATCTCTTTCATTTCTGATATTATACTTTAACCCAAGAATTTAACTTTTGGGGGGGGGGGCAATCTGTAGATGCATTGGCCCATTTCTCTGAAAGTCTTCTTTTATTTGAAGTTTAATTATTTGAGATCCTGTTGGGACCAGGCCCAAGTAAATATAGCTTAATCTAATGCAGACTAATGGTGAGGGCAGTGGGGGACCAAAGCGAATTTTAAAGTCTTAACAAAATTTGGTATCACAGAAGACATAATAAAGAATATGCCATTTGTATAAATTCAGGATGCCTTTTTTATAGAAAGACTTATATAAAAAGTTACAAAGATGCATTTATGAACAACACTTATGGAGAAGTAAACTATAGCTGCCTGAGACAGAGCCTCCTTCACAGAAGTTTCACCAACACGCCAGAGCCAAAGGAGGGGTCTGCAATGTCTGAAAAAGGAATTCCAGGTCTCCGTGAGGTTGACATTAGTTATGAGCGATGACGGAGATTTCAAGGTGTCCGTGTGTGATGGCAAGTTCAGTTTCAGCATCCCTGGGTAAAGAGCCCCAGACAGATTCCAGCTGCAGAGAATAAAATCTTGGCACAGGAATGATTTCATCAGCACAATAAAAAACTAGAGAAACACACTTCTTCTCAGGACTGTTTATACATTCAACACACTGTAGACAGCGGAGGGAATGGGTTCTGCTTGCTGACAACTAGCTTCTGATGCTGATGTGATATATAGCCTTTAATGTGACCCTGTGGGAGAGAAAGAGAGGGTTGGCTTATGTTTTTGAGTCACATTGCTGATGTTGGGTGAGTTAATTACTTAGTCCCATGGCATAAGCATTATTCCCCAACCACAATGCAACTGAAGTCACTGTGGGGGACAATAAATACATACATATATAGTGGAGAATATAGAAATCTATATTATATCCACTCACCTGTACCCCCATAAAGCCCTTTGAATATTATTTCCTGGGATAAAATTAGTTTACCAGGAAATACCTTTACCAAAGCAAAGGGCCAGATAATAACTTTAACACCACTACATCAAAGCTTCACATTCTAGAATCTAGACCAAGTCCTACTGGAAGGGGCCATCTACACTGAGCCAAGGAGCTCACTCACCATGTATATCAGGTTGGCCAGAATACACTGGACTTCATCAATGTCCACATCTTCCACCTGCATGAATTTCAACGCAACTAGAAAAGCATCCAGAGACAACTGGTGTGTTTTGAGTAACAAGTACCTGGAAGAGAGAAACAGAGTCCACGCTAGTTACCAACAGTATGTACATACTTCGAAGGTTAAGAAAAGGTGCAAAGTCAGTAGAAAACACATCTTCTAATAAACCACTGTTCAAAAAAGGATGAAAAAAAAATCTCCCACCTATTAGATACATTTTAAAAATAAGAGCTATTAAATATAATTTTGACTTTTCAATTTAAAAAAGCCGCTAGTACAAAAGTAATTTCTTATATTTACTGAGTATTTCATCAAATCTAAGATGCATGTATTTTCATATTTTAATATCTCTGAAATCAGAATGTACCTTAAAATGGGTAGTGTCTTACGGAATCAATGAAATATAATCTTCCTATTTTTGATATACTACCCACTGCTATAAAAAGTTTGCCTTTGTTTGAAGATTAATTAACTAGATCCTGTTAGGACCAGGCCTTGGAGAAGAGTCAACTTCCAGAGTTACATACAAGAAAAAGTATTGCAGAATTCAACTTTCTGACAAATCTGAGTGACGGGGAAGTTTGGTTGATTACGAATACAGGAAATGAACAATTAGTCCCACACACTCTGATAAAATGTTAAATATCTGATTCTTAGGGCTGGTGTTTTAAAAGTATCTCTTACAAAGTTCTCTTATCACACATAACCCCAGTTATTCCTCCTGCAGGTGAGCCTTTGCTCACTCACCTGTGTGGTACCAAGGCCCGTGAGACAGTGGGCTGGCCTGGGAAGGTTCATTTTATTCCACACAATGAAAGGAAAAGTGAAGGGCCCTCATCTACACACTGACAATCCCATCTCAGAAGACACAGCATCTGTTACTGTTAAGTTTTCATAACCCGACAACTCTACTGCATGAGTCATATTAAGATTTTAAATTTATGAAAAATACTTTGCTTACACTTTCTTAAAAAGATTCCTGTAGGTGATGATCTTCAGCTTTTCAAGGATAAGGAAGATACCACAGCGAATAAAAAAGGTCTCGTGCTTCGTCAGAGCCTCGTTCAATAGAAGGAGATTGCCTTCACTGAGTGATGGGTAAAGATGTGTAAGCACAGTCACAAAACAAACTCCCAGGACGAAATCGCATCAAACAGCAATTACTTCTCCCAGAACATGCGTGAAATTTTTATGAACTTTATATTTTAAAAGATCCCAAATGGAAAAGGATAAAGTACTACCTTACAGCTTTGGTTACTTCAGCAAACTGCATGAGATGGTACTTTTTCAAAAGCTCAATGGTTGGCATATGACCCTAAGACAAAGAATTAATTTTCCAGAATAAGAGCCCTTTCATTTTAATAGAATTGTTTTTGATAAAATTCTTATCAAGGAATTAAGTTTTAAAAACTTGCAAACTTGTGTTTCTTAAAATTTCTTCAAAGTAGCTAAACGAAGATTAAAAACATCATAGTATACTAGAGAAAAAACAAATGCTGGTCTAGAAATCAGAAAACCTGGGTATACTACAGTTTTATCATTCAGTTACATATGACCTTGATCTTGACCTTTTCATGTCTCTTACCTTTATATCATAGGTGATTGGTAACTGAAGAAATACTAGTAGGTGATTTAGGAATACAGAAACATCTTCTAGAAGAATCATCTAAAAAATTTAAACTGCTTGTTTCTGTTAAGTAGGGTTAGCAGTGGAGAGGGATAGGTACAATATCATTGCTTTTCCATTACACAAGCTATCTTGAACTATTTAAGATTTAACCAAATGTGTGTATCGTTTGATAATTTTTTAAAATTTTTAAATGGGAAGAAAAGGAAGCTCTAATACTTTGAGGATGTTTTAGTCAATTAACATGATAGTTATTTGTCATTGCTTTTCAGGTATCAAAAATAGCTTTTGGTGATAAAATACTCGTGCCTACAGACAAGCTGGAATGACATATTTTTTCTTCTTTAATGGCCAACCCATTTTTATTAATTTAGATTTTTAGGGGATAGAAATAACATGTACTTATTTTATTTGCCCTACATATGTTAAACTTTTGAGTTAGATACTTTAAAGAGAAAGGAAACACAGACAAGGCCTTTCTAGAAGGATCTGAAAGTGTCAATCATGAAGGTACATGGTTCAGGCTACACAAAAGCTCTTCTTCCTCTATTTTGGGTTGTGCTCAGATGCAGCTGAGATTGTGATCAACTACATACCATCTGCTGTATTTTAAAAAGTCTATTAACTTCTTCAAAGAAACAAGATCTATAAGAATTGAGTAACAATCACTCACCAAGAGCATTTTTACTGGGAGTAAATATATCAGAATCATCCTTTTGTTCTTCTGACTTAAACGGTGACAGTGCTCAAAGGCAAAGGACAAGTACTCCTCGGCTGCAGAGACACCAACAAGGTCAGTCCAACAGCATCTTATCAGGCTTTGTAAGCTCTATACAACACAAAGTTACTCAAGTTCCCAACCTGCTCCTTATTCTACCTTTTATCCTTACACAAAAGGCTCTAACATTTTCAGAAACTACAAATATGTACCACTGATACTAAGAAATTATTTCTTGCTGTTAGGTATTCAAAAATGCTACTCAATGAATCTTCAGGGGATGAGCATATCAATACCTTAACAGACTTCAATAGAATATAATTTAAAAGCTTCTATTCTTTTTTTTTTTTTTTTAGCTGAGCCATCCTGCCACCTGTTGGCAACTCAGCTCGGGCCAGGACTTGAACCGCTGTTGCTCAGAGCTTGCACTCTTGAGCGAGCTCTTAACCAACTGAGCCACTCAGCCGGCCCAAAAGCTTCTATTCTTATGCTTCATATTTTAAGGGAAAAAAGCAGCAATGGGGAATAACCAAGGAAAGCCCTTCTTCAAAAGCCTTTGACCTATGAAAGAAAATGAAAAGTTGGTCTGTATAAGTCTATAGAATAAAAAAAAACAGAGTAATTATTTTGAAAGAGCTGTTATTTTTGTCATCAGAGAATCCATGGCTATAGCACACTAAGAGAAAAGTGACTATATGTATCTTGTATTGACTGAAATTATGTTGTTTCGTGTACAAATAGCTGTTGAAGAAGTGAGTTTAAAAAGTCTTGTCTGAGTACAATAAAAGAAGCACCTCATGCCAGCTAATCAAAAAGTTTAAAAAGAAAAAAAACTGGCTTCATGTTCTTGAGAAAGTTAATGACATAAACTACATAATAATGTAATTACATGAAAGCACCGCTCTGAGGTGCTAATGACGCCATCATCCATGGCCACAAACACCAAAGATGACACCAGCCCAAAAATGCATTCCCACTGCTCGTTTGGGCGTCCCACGTGGGCTTTCTAAGCAGTAAGTCAGCCGCTGAGCTAAGTGCTGCCCCAATCTCCATGTCCTGTGTCAACATGATTGGCACAGACAGAGGGAAAAAACAGTTACTTATATTCAATGCCAAGAATACTGGTGCTTAATTACCTCACACAAAAAAAGACGTCCATGATAACTGAGACTCTGACACGTATTTCAGAGACCCAGAATGGATTCAGTAACTTCAAATAGAATTTTCTTTTTAATTAACCAAATTTAGTGTAAAAAATAATCAAAAAAATATAACTTGGACTTGGTTTACAACTATATTCCACTTTAAGTAATAACAAAATGCAATAATGTGTCCTCTGAAACTGTATCACAGAAGTTGTTCAGGAAGCAATGTATTGGGTTGTCAGAAAAGTCATGACGCATTTTTGCAACGAAAAACATAGAAAAAAATACGTCATGACTTTTCCGACAACCCAATATTTAAAACACTGGGGACAAGATTAACAACATACCTTGCTTAAAGTCACTATCGAACATGGCCTTTCGTCCAACATAGTACCTGTATGTCACCCTCTGTGCAGTGCTGTAATCATCTTTCAGGTTTGAGCTGTCAATGGCTCTGATTAGGGGTTTACACAAATGGAGTTTGTTGATCTAAAACAAATAACAATCCACTTAATATTTAAAAATAAAAACGGACAGGCAGGACAAACAAACTGCTACTCTACTAAGCATATACCCCTTTAAACGGAATTACAAAACCCATTACATTATCAAAATTGATTATTTAATACTAAAAACGAAAATACAAGCTACATTACATAGATTACATCACTTTAGAAGGCCCTAAGAAGCGCTTCAGAGAAGAGTTGCTTCCAGAGCAGATGTGCCCCATGAATGGAAGGCCCACCCAAGGGGCCAGGTCCCAGCCGCTAGTATGTGACAGAGCTGCTCTTCACCTGGCCGATTTCATGAGGCAAAGAATGATTTCTTCACCCATCCACACTCCCATCTGTTCCACAGTTAATAATTACAATAGCAGGTAGAAGGCTCTGGACTGAAACCCCTCACTTAAAGCCCAGTTCTACCACACTGGGCATGCTGCTTAGTATGTGGGTGCCTTAGTTTCCCCTGGAATCAACAGCATTTACCTCATAGGGTTGAGCTTTAAATAACATGACACATGAGAAGCATTTACAACAGTAACTGGCACTTAGCAAGGCGCTCAGCAAATGTCAATGCTTAGGATTAGAAATATGATTTGGTAATGATCATTTCCCAAGCAATGCTAGGGAGGCTGGCTAATAATAGAAATGGTATCTGGGAAGATAAGGAGAAATAAAATTTATAAAGATAGATTATAAAGTACTCAAACAGAAGCATACCTTAAAGTAAATCTTGAATAACTGATTCACCAGAAACAGCATCCCCCACTTCTTAGAATCCTCTATACCAGCGCGACTACGAGAAAATGATTTTTACAGTTACACAGGAAATAAAAATTTTACTTATAAATCACAAAATAAACTGCCTACACAAATTAACATCTTGAGATAAAATCTTACAGCTTACGTAAGTCATATTCATGAAATAACATTATGAAAACAAAGTCTTATCTAATAGGTAAAATTGAAAAAACCAAACCAGGAATTCTCACAACCCAGTTAAATATTTGGGCAATACTCTCCCCCAGCTGCAGCAGCTGAAAAATGCTTAGTTTGTAGCAATATTATGTGTAAAAACTAATTGTTATAAAGTAGTTTTGAAAAATGGAGAAAGTATTTTCTCTTATTATTACAACAAAATGAACTACTAAAATATACAACAATATGGATGAATCTCAAAAAGAGCAGGACACAGAACACATACTGGTTGGGTCCATTTATATGAATTTACCAAACAGGCAGAACCAATCTACCATGGAAAAAACTCAGACTGCCTGAGGAGGGGGATAAGGGAAACTTAATGTCCTGTATCTCAATAGGGGTTTGGGTTATACAGGTTTACATACTTGTCAAAACCCAGCAAATATACAGGTAAGATTTGTGTGGTTCACTGTATGTAAATTTTACCTCAAAATACAAAACATAAGCTGAAGCATTTAGGGGAAAGTTTACTGATGCATACTGCATGATTTAGGGGAAATTGTACTGATGTATGCAACTAATCTTAAAATGCATCAAAAAGATAAACTGATGGATGGAGGGAAAGCACATGAACAGATGATAAAGCAAGTACAGTAAAATATTAATGCTAGAAGTAGTAGGTATATAGGTATTCACTGTAAAATTATTTAAACCATTGAATGTTTGAAAATTTTTATGATACAAAGTTGAAAAACAATTCAGAATTGAGTGTGCCATGTGTTTGCACTTTGCGATGGTTATTCTAGGCAGAACTTGCAGACTCTCAGAGACAGTGGTGCTAGAAAGAAAGAGGGCCAAGGGCAGGTTGCCTGGAAACACTAAATCCTGCAGCATGAAGTCAAAGCACATGAAATAAAAGTTCCCAATATAGAAACAAGCAGGTTGTTCACAAGCCAGGGAAAAAGAAATTGCTCCTTAAGACCCAGATGTGCCCATATAGAAATACTTAAAATAATGTAATACAATTCAGTATTAAAATATCAAAGTCTATTTTATGATAACTGCCAGCTCTTTAATATGATTCTTGTAACTAACTAGTAGTATGACCTCAAACAAGATACCTTTTCTCTCTCTAGGACTCATTTTCCTCATTAGTAAAATGGAGACAAATAATACTGTTCTACCTACCTCAAAAGGTATTATATGATAAAAAGAAAAAGAAAAAAAAAAAAAAGAAAGAAATCCAAGTACTTTGTAACGTACATAAAATTCTCTCATAGTACTGTCTTCGCCACTCTGGCACCAGGGATGATGACCTCTTCTGGAGACGTGTGACAAAGCAAACCCTAAGGGAAAGGTTTGCCACTTGAGATTTGATTTTGTTTCTTGGGTCTATGCCTAGGAGTGGAAGTGCTGGGTCATATGGTCACTCTGTTTAACTATTTGAGGAACTGTCGTACTGCTTTGCAAAGTGACTGCACCATTTTATAGTCCCACCAGCAATGTATGAGGTTTCTAAATTCTCCACATCTTTGTCAATGCTTGTATTGTCTGTCTTTTTTATTCTAGCCATCCTGGTGGGTGTAAAGTGGCAGTTCATGGTGATTTTGATTTGCATTCCCTTAGAGACTAATGATGTTAAAAATCTCTCATTGACTTACTGGCCATTTGTTTATCTTCTTTGTAGAAATATCTATTCAAATCCTTTGCCCATTTTTTAATTGCATTATTTGTCTTTTTATGGGTGAGTTGTAATAGGCTTTATATATTCTGGATACTGGACCTTTACCAGTTATATTATTTGCAAATATTTTTTCCCCATTCTATGGTCGTTTTTTACTTTTTGATAGTGTCCTTTGAAGCACAAAGTTTTTAATTTTGAAGTCAATTTATCTATTTTTTCTCCAGTTGCTTGTGTTTTTGATGACACAGCTTAAAAATACAAAACAAAAAAAGCCAAAATCCCATTGCCAAATCCAAGATCATGATCATTGCTGTGCAGGAATACAAAGAGAATTCCAACTCTCCACATAATAAATATTTACTGAATGCTACCGTAGAGTGAGAGGCACTATGTGAAAGCAACATATGTAGCCTTCTGGACTTTGCAATCGAATAAACATCATCCAAATAACTACTTTTGGGGTTTTTGTTGTTGTTGTTGTTGTTTTTTAGCTGAGCCATCCTGCTACCTGTTGGCAGCTCAGGGGCTGCTCAGCTCGGGCTGGACTCGAACCACTGTTGCTCAGAGCTCAAACTCTTGAGCAAGCTCTTAACCAACTGAGCCACTCGGCCGGCCCTCAAATAACTACTTTTGATAAGTACAATGAATACAAAGCACAGCCTGCTATGAAAGTTTACAAAAGGAGAATTGCATTTACTCTGAGGTTCGGTGGTGAGAAGTGTTAGAGAAGCTGAAAGCTGTAAAATGAGTGGAGACAGCTGGATGAAAAGCTGGGGGGGCCATGCCAGGCAAAGGAAACAGCATTTGTGGAAAACCTCAGCAGGGGAAGTGTCCCAGTACCCTGAGGAATAGTTTTGGTTGGAATGTTTAAGGTGGAGCTGGTGGGGACAGTGGTGAGAAATGAAAAGCTGGAACACTTTCTGGGGACAAGAGATTTTGCTTGTTTATTTACATATGAAAAGCTTTACTTTTTTTTCTTTGCTTTACAATTTCCTAAAATTCCCCAATAGACATGATTTTATCATGGGTGAAGAGATGGAGTTTCAGGAGAAAAACAGAAACCCTAAAGTACAATCAGATGGAAAGTATAGAATTAAAAAATAAATAGTGAAATAAATAAATAAATAAATAAATAAATAAATAAATAAATAGTGACCAATACTAGTCAACTTGAAACCAGGTCAACATAAATTATCCAAAATGAAAGAGAGGGGGAAAAAAAAGATTAAGAAATAAACAACCCATCAGTGCCCTGTGAAATAATATCCTACAGTCTAACTTACATGTAATTGGTGCTGCAGAAAGAGAAGGGGAAGAATGGGACCAAAAAGTAGTTGAGGAATGTAAAAAATTAAATAAATTTAAAAAATCTAATAAAAACCATCAACTCAGAGATCCAAGCAGCCCAAAGCATCCCAAACATGAGAAATACAAAAACTTGTAATTACATCAGGGTCAAATTACTGAAAGTCAAAGTGAAGAGAAAAAATAGGCAGAGGAAACAGACATTATATACCAGTAAACAGTGATAAGAATAACAACTGATTTGTCATCAGAGACATAAGAAAGATGATGGAATGACATTTCACAGTGCTAAAAGAAAAAAATGGTCAATGTAGAATTCTTCATCGAGTAAAAAGATTCCTCAAAAATTAAGACAAAGAGTTTCAGAAAACTGAAAGCTTAGAGAATTCATTATCAGCAGGCCTGAACTAAAAGCAACATGCTAAAGCAGGTTCTCAGAGTAAAGGGAAATGGTACCAGATAGAAACTCAGATCTACAGGAAGGATTAAAGAACTCCAGAAATGGTAAATTTGTGGGTAAATGTAAATTACTATGTTTTTTCTCTTATTTCCTTATAGAACAATAGACTATTTAAAGCAAAAAGAAAAGAAAAGAAAAGATTACTGTGGTTTTACAACATACGTAGAAGTAAAATAAATGTCAACAAAGGATTGGAAGGGGCAATGTGCTGTGATAGGAGACTGGCAATATCTGTCTCCGAAACTTTACTCACGTGTCACTGGCACAGACGCGGAAACAGCTCATCAACAATTCAGCTGCTTTTTCCAACATGTCCCCAACTTTGCTTTTTCCTTTCTTTACCAACTGCTGATCTGCCTAATAGAATATAAAAACATTTGCTTTTTATTTCTGCTAGAATCCTTAATTAAAAAGAAAATCACAGTGCAGCTAGAAGCAAAAATGGCTACAACTAAGAGTCAAAGTCCCAAAAGGTCCTGGAGGAATCATCTAGTCTATACTATGGTATTTTTAAAAATTGAGAAATCTATAGCTTATTCCAACTCTTCCACAAATCAAATCTCTCTTCAAACAATTCAAGCTACTAAGTCAGTCACCAATTTTTTAAGCCTGCATCACATGTGGCCCTGCACTGCTAAGCCTCTTCTTTCCTCAGTCCATGACTTTCCCATCTCCTATGCATAGCTGGTCAAAACCCTTGAAACACACTTTTGATAGCAAAGTCATTACCAAGTTTGACTCTTCCCTTGTTTTGAGGATAGGCTTGTTTAAAGAGAACCAGTTTTCTCCCACTCATATTCTCCCTACCACAGTTTCTCCAAGTATGGTCTATGAACTCCTGAGAGCCTTCAAGATGCCTGCAGATGATCCACATGGTCAAACTATTCTCATGATAACACTAAGCCACGATGTCTTTTTATCATATTGACACTTGGATGGATGATGCAAAAACAATAGGTGAAACCACTGGAGCCTTCCCAGAGGCACCAGCATGAACTAGCAGTCATCATAGTCTTAACACCATGCACCTACAATCCATCAGTCAACCAACCAATAAAGCTAATTTCACTTTAAAATGTCTTTAATGATGCAGTTAATAGTAACTTTATTAAGTCTTGGTTCTTGAATACATAAATTTTTAATATTCTTTGACAAAATGGGAAATATATACAAAGCACATCTACTGCACACCGAAACGAAGTATGATCGTTATTTTAAGGGCAAGTACTTGGGCAGCTGCTGGAGTTGCCAGCTGGACCTGCCAGCTGGACCACGGAACAAATAGCTGATTGACAAGCAAAACAACCCAGGCATGGGTAGATGGAGGGACATATGCTCGAAAGTGAATGAAAGAAGTCTGTCATCTCCAGGCAAACAACTGATGGTACTTGTTGCCAATGACAATATTTGTGCTTTCAAGAAAAAAATAAGAATTTTGGAAAACTTGTATAGTCCACCATGAACTTGGCAGCTTTCCACTACTTCCAAGACTTTCCTGATGAGATCACTGTAGATGAACAAACATAGAGCTTTTCTGATTTGGGGTTTTTTACATAATGAAATACATCAACATTTGGAACATCTGCATAACTCAGTGAATTAAAATTTTCTACAAGTTCAGTGAATGTTACAGAATCATGCAAGTGTAAGAGATCCATTCAAAGTGCGTGACATACCAGTGGATTTTGATGCAGCAGTGGAAAAAGGTCACTGCTATGCTTCAGAGACCCACACTGTAACTACCCTTTTGAGTTTTGGTATAGCTCAAAGAAGAGTATCTACAATTATCTGAAAAGGCTACTAAAATACTCCTCCCTTGTCCATCTACATCTGTGTGTTGCCAGACTGTCTTCATATACTCAACCAAAACAACATATTGCCACAGAGTGGATGCATTAACAGATATGAGAATCTGGGTGGCTTTTATTAAACCAGACATTAAAGAATTTAAACTGTAAAAGAATGCCACATTCTTCTTAGTACATTTTGTTCATTCTAAAAGTATATTTTTTATTTAAAAGACAATTATGTTACCATGTAAAAGTTTTATTATTTTAAATGAATATTAAAATTTTTCCCAATTAAAATTTCTAATGCAGTAATTATAGATAAAACATATATAAACAAAAGCTTTTGGGGGTTTTCAATAATTTTTATTTAAGTGATAATATTTTTCAGTTCTAAAATTTCCATTTGGTTCTTCTTTATATACAGAGGGTGCCCCCCAAAAAAGTTTACACGTTTTAAGAAAGGAAAGAACTGTATCAAAATTGTAATACAATGAATAACGCTAGTATTCATTTGATTAACGCTATCTTTTGAGCGAGCGAATGTCATACTACACATTGCTACCATAATTCAACTTCGAAAAGTAATACATATAGAGATAACATCTCTTAAAATGTATACATTTTTTTGGCACTCCTGGTATCTTCTACTTCTTTGCTGAGACTATCTACCTTTTCATTTGTTTCAAGCAGGTTTGTAATTGCTCCTTTAGGCTTTTTTATGATGGCTGGTGTAAAATCCTTATCAGGGAATTCCAACATTGTGTCATCTCAGTGTTGGTGTTTACTGATTATCTTTCTTCATTCAGAATCTCAAAAGGCTAAGATTTTCCTGATTCTTGGTATGATAAGTGATTTTCCATTATATCCTGGATATTTGGGGTATTATTACTTTACAAGACTATGGAACTTATTTATCTTGTTTCAGCAGGCCTCCACCGATGCCAAGCTAATGGAGAAACGGGGGCTCCACCTCTTTGGCATTGGGTGGGGTGGGAGGTCTGGCTCCCCATGGGCCTTGCTGACAGGGTGGTGGGGACCTGCAGACTGTGTGTGAAATACAGCAGGAATTGCTAAAGAGCTCTGTCCTGATGGGCTGCTTTCCCCCTTCCTGCTCTGCTTGGGGCTTCCTCATCTCTGCTTGTTGGTGTTTCTGGGTTTCTAGGACCCAGGCTTCTCTGGGACCCAGGCTACGACAGACAGGAGGAAAAAAGGAAATGCAGAAAATTCACTGCATCTTACGAGTCCCTGTCCCCTTCTTCTCTCCACCTCTCAGAGCCATATTGGTTTTTAAATTCCCAGCAGAAGGAATGGGAAAAATGTGCCCACTCCATGTTGTCCAGATTCAGAAATCATCAATAATTTTTAAAACTGTAAAGGCCCTTAGGGTCAAAACCTTGAGAAATGCTGCTCCAAAACTGGCTTATACTGACCCCTAAGGATCTTTACCTCCTCATACCAGAGAAACCCTTAGCTGTTGTCTCAATTTACATTAAGGTGGAATTCCTTAAGATAGGGGACAGGTTACATCTAAACAGCAAAAGAGAATGAAGGATGGCTCATCTATTATTGCTCTACCTCCTTTAAAAAAGTCACATGCCATAAATGGTTAACCATACATAGAAACAGCTCCTTCTATAGCTACAAGGTGAAAATCAATGTTTATTTAAATCTGTTCACATCAACCCAAAAAGAACAATTAGTTAAGATATCCCGTTCTGTGCTCTCTATACCAGCTATATCCCAACCCCCACTCATTCCTCAAAATTTTGAAAGAATGACATGAAAACAAGCAACAGACAGATACCAAGTCTGGGTTTTAAAACAATTGTGATAAAAATTGAACTTACATTATTGGCAAATATTCGAAGATCAAGTGCTACTGCATACATAACAGGCAGAGCCCTACAGGGGCAAAAAAGCAAGTGTGTTTAAAAAGGCTATGAGGTCAGAGTCCATTACCAGAGGTGGGAATGAGACTGTCATCAAGGGCTATTACTCAGAATGGGAGTCGGTACCCCTCCAAAAATCCAATGGCTACTATTACCTTTCTCACCTTCCATCAGTAGAGGCTGCAGCCCCGGGGCTCTGATCAACATGAAAGCCAGACACTGGAGGGCTCCACACCCACTGCCCCAGACCCTTCTCAGAAGCCTACATCCTGATGCATCTAGGGGTCCTCAGTCCTCAGTCTGAGGCAGGATCTCCTCACAATGTTCTCAGGACATCCTCCTTCCCCTCAACTCCCTATCATTATCCAAACAGCTCCATTAAAACAAGATGTGGTTTAGTAAGGTTTCCTAATAGCAACCAGAGTATGCAGTAGACAAATGTTATAAAACAATTTTTTAAAAGTCTAGTCGGCAGTATTGGTCTTCCTTTCATGGATAAGATAATCCTTCGCTTAAAAATGGGGTGGTTAGGGCTGGCCGAGTGGCTCAGTTGGTTAAGAGCTCACTCAAGAGTGTGAGCTCTGAGCAACAGCGGTTCAATTCCCGGCCCGAGCTGAGCAGCCGCTGAGCTGCCAACAGGTGGCAGGATGGCTCAGATGAAAAAAAAAGGGTGGTGGGTTTTTTTGTTGTTTTTTTTTTCCAGTAAAAGTATTTGCAAGCCTCCAGTTATTTTAGTACAAACAAATTCTCAGTATTTACCTAGTTTGTTAATAAATCCAAAATCATAAAATTAAGAATTAGTTTGGTAAGCAATTTAAAATGGCCCATTATGTATCATATCGCCAAAAATGAACTGTAGTTGATCTACCTCTTTTGTCCAAGTTTAAAACCTAAAGCAAGTTCAAAATTGACCATTAAAAGGAAAAAAATAGTATTCAGTAAATATTTGGGGGCATGAAAGAGTTGAAATAAAAATATTTCCCATTTATATAAACGTACTGCAAATAATCTGGCTGATCTGCCATTTAAGTTTACATTGGCTATTAAAACTCCATTATCCATGTTTATATTATTATGTCACTACATGATGTTAAATGTCCACATGGAAAACATAATATATATTTATTTAGAATAAAATTTTTAAAAGTTTCTGCTAAAAAATTTTTTTGCTAATTTCTAGCTGTTTTTGTTCATACTTACCAGTTTTCTTCTTTGTGGGCCTGAAATGCCCGTAGGAATGATGTATTATATTAAGGAAAATATAGCATATGTAATTCAAATAATGCTACAAATGATAAGAATAAAGAAATAGAAGAATTCTAAACTTTAAGGAGTATAGCTCACTATTTAGAAAATTATGTGAACTCACAGCAGTAAGTTCTTAAGGAAAAAGTGTATAAGCCCACTTATAAATATCTGAGTATCATAAGTAAGGTATAAGTATACTAAATGTATTTATTTCATACATACTTTCTCCAAAGTAAGAAAAAGGAAAAAGACTAGTTATAAGATTTTTTAAACTGGCAATCTCAAACATTTTATTTGGTTTCTCTGAGCCCAGATGATCATAAGTTATAAGTAATGGGCTGTAGAATACGTAGTATAAAGCTTAGTTCATGATTACAGAATTCTTGAATTCAAAGGAGACTGAGCAACCAACTCCCTTTTGTGTATACTTAAACAAAATGGTTAAAAAATAAACAAAGTAAAGTCTAGAGATACATATACTTTAATGAGACACTCAGTAATTAGTGCCTTAGCTATGAGATAACACTTAAATGATTTAAATCAGAAAATGGCTTAAGGTCTTCAGTGACAGCAATTAAATGACAATGTGTGTTGAATCCACTCTTGTCCATCTCTACTTGGGTTTTGGAGTTCTGATATTCTGCCAAGGGGACTGAATCAGTCCTTGTAACAATACTTAATGCCTTAAGGGCAGCAAATTATTATTTTTCACAAGAGAATTAAATAAAATCCTTAATCATAACCCATGCCCTTCCTTACGTAACGGGATGGCAATCTTAAGAGCTATGCTAAATTTAAGTACCCGAGTAAAACAGCTAAATTAGTTTCTCTTCCAAAAGTTTTTAGTTCTTTTCTAATCAAAAGGATGAATAAAATTGGCCCAATGTTTCAAAGTCTTAAACCCCAAATAATCTATCGTATCTGTTATAAATTGAACTTTTGACACAAATGACAAAAGATATTGGACGATGACAGTCTGGCATTTGTATGCCTCTATGAAGTCATGGTTCCCCACTGAGTAAGTGCACCTGAAAAAGAAACGTTGGAGAATGAGGACAGAGGCAGCAGAAAGCGCATTTACAGGATGAAAACCTAGAAGTGAACCAGGTAGACCACACATCTTACTTCCATCACAAACACCCTAGTTCTCAGCTGATCTTGGAGTGAAAGCTGGACCATCTGCTTTACAGACTACAAAAGCTGAAGGAAGAAACACACAAAAAACTACTTGAAGTAAAATGTGTTGGAATAAGATGAAATCCCACGTTAAGTTTTGAGACTACTGTTTCAAATCCCAGAAGGAGAAACCTAGCTGCCAGCAGGTTTTATTAGTAACATGCACTGATAACACGGTATGGCACTTCTATTGTATCAATGGATGATGACCCTCTAACTAGATGCCCAGCTGGGTAGTCAGTATCAGCTCATCACCAAATCTGGAATCCCATGGCACAGTGCAAAGAGACAGGAAATCACAGGGTGCTTCACGCTACAAAGAACACATTGGCACTCCAGCTTTGTAACAATGTCACAGGGCTACCCCACCTTGCCCCCTGCACGCCTGCCTGCTCCAAAACACGGGAGGCACTGCAGGCAGGAAGGTAATCAAACACCACACGCTTTAAGGATATAAAACTTTGCCTGAACTGATGGTTTAGAGAGAAATGTGGTAGAAATGAAATATAAATAAAAAGCAGTATTTCATTCGCTTTCTCTGCTCTGATTTCTTTCCCAGTAAGGCAAAGAGGTGGGCATGTTTCCATGAAAAATCCAAGTCAATGGTGGGCTCTACACCCTATAGATGATGTCATACAACCAACATGATGACTATCAAGTGATTTCTTTTATAGTATCACACAATACACATATGAAGACACATGATCACAATATAATTTTAACTTTTAGAAACATACATAATCCTTGAAATGAAAAACATGTTGAGGGCCGGCCGAGTGGCACGATGGTTAAGAACTGGTTTGGGACGCCAGAGGGCCCCGGTTCGGATCCCACATATGAGGGCCAGTGACACTATCCTCCACAGCTAAGATGCTGAACAACAGCTCAACCTGGAGCTGGGCTGCTGTGAGTCGCTGGCGACGGCGTAGGCTGCAGCCCCTGTGGCAGTGGGTTGCCATGGGCTACTGTGTGTAGCCAGCAGCCAGCGTGAGCAGCCAGCAGCTGCAATGAGCGGCCGTCCAGAAGCCGGCGACTGATCTGCCTCGCCTGGGAAGAGCACAATGATGGTGCCAACTTGGGCCAGTGAAGCGACGTCCTCCACAACTAGACTGAAGAACAAAACAACAGCAACTCGTCTGTTCCCCTTCCCCAATTCCCCAGCACTGTTCCCATCCCCCAATTCCCCAATAAAAAAAATCTTAAAAAAAAAACACAAAAACATGTTGATTAACATTTTAAAGTTTTTTAAATTTCAGTTTTCACAGGTTTTACCAAAGTAAAATTATAAACACACTTTTCTACTTTTTCAAAGTAAATCATTCACTGCTTCAAGCATTAGATGATGTTAAATAAAATCCCTAGTCAATTCAGCAATTTCAAGATTTGCTTGTTTTACTTCCTCACCTTAAATGAGCTGCAAACATTTCATCATAAGGGGGTTCCAAAACTTGTTGACACTTCTCTTCTGGAGAGGCCAACTAAATTAAATAAGAAAAATGGCAAAAATAAAATTAACAGGCATGGAAAGAATGCAATGTATAGAAAGAGATTTAAACAAACCTGTTTCAAAAGAATTTACACTTTATAGTTAATAGTAACACTTTACAACTTAGCACTTCTAAACAAAAGGTTCATTACTTCAACAAATATTTATCAAGCATGAACTAGGTATAGCGCACTAGATGAATACATTTTCTCTACCACAGGCTAGGAAATAGTCTAGGCACTTTCATACGTGTCTTAATATTTAACAGCCAGCTAGTTAAGAAAGATTTAGTAAGTAGCTACTATGTGCTTAATAGATAAGGCATATAATACCTTACATAAATAAGGTCTAATGAGTCAAAGATGCCATGTTAGGAATCACTCCTTAGCTGCCTGGTGATAGAACCAACCTCTCTGTGTCCTGGGCTAGACTAGCTGACATTTATTTCTAACTCTTCCTTTCTTCTCAATGGCCAAATTTTAGATAATATGAGCATCACAATGGATTGTATATAGCACATTGAATTAAAAGGAAAAAGAAAGGAATTAATGAGTCTACTCTGATACTGATATAATTTACATGTAAATGTGGAAGGGGAAAAATAATATCAGAAAAATCATCATTTTCTACACTCGCTAGTGAAATAATTGATTCAGACAATGGGCACCAGTGAACCATCAGATGGACGGTTAACAGGGAATTTTATACTGAAGAACTCAGTCTTAGAGTACAAATGGGCAAACGGACGTGTGTGCCTCATGCAATAGGAAACACATAGCACCAACTATGGAGTGTCTGGCCAGCAAGCTGAACCTGAGTCTCATCAAGTCTCTGGCACTCATTTCTATTTGGAGCAATGGTTTTCAAAATGTTCTGTATGTTAGAACTGGCCGACTTGAAATTTAAAAAACAAAACAAAAAAAGCCTGCTTCTACTCCAGACTGGTTTACATAGTTTGAGGTGTAGCCTATACACTGCCAAATATAATCACCAATATGTAAGCTCAAACTCTAAATTTCTCTTAGGAAGCCAGATACCCTGTAGCTCTTTCTGTGTGTATAGTCTTTTCACATACCTGAAGCCGTGGGTTGGCAACATGAGGATGCTTGAAAGACACCAGCTCCGCACAGGATGCCCCGTCTCTGGTGTCGATTGCTTCATAGACCTGCATTTGAGAAGAGAAAAGCTAAGCAGAAAATAAAACACTCTATTCTAATAGAACCTAAACTACACATGGTATACCACTAAAAGTCATTTTCCCTACTTCAAAAGGAGTCAGCATAATCAAAATATAACAAGTCAATATTGTCTTTAGCCAGCAAACAATAACTACATTTCAAAATGCAATCTTCTGGAGGCAAATAAACAGATGACTTACTGTGAAAAACAATTTAAGGCCAGAATAAGCCAGTTTATTATTTGGTTATTAATGAAGATGAATTATTATATTAGTTTTACTCAGTCATACTAGCAAACATTTGAAAATTCACTTACACAGCTTAAGGGAAAAGAAAGAGCTTAAAACCACATATTTCCAAAATTCAAAAGGCAGTTCTATTCAACCTAAATATAAAAGAAAAATAGGATGGCAATGGCTAAATGAATGGTGTCACAGTGTGCTGTGAAAAAGAATAAAATAAATTTACACATAATAACATGGGAAAGTCTGCAATATGCTTATTGTTAAGCAAAAGAGAGAGAGAGAGAGAGAGAGAGAGAGAGAGAGAGAGAGAGAGAGAGAGAGAAAAAAGAAAGAAAGAAAGAAAGAAAAAAGAAAGAAAGAAAGAAAGAAAAGAGTCACAGGAAAACTGTATAACTTGATTTGGCAGAAAAAGACAAAGTATGTATGACATGTAATCACAGGAAGAAATGCAGGGCCCCACACCACACCAGATGACCCATTGGCCAGTGGGGTGAGGGCTGAGAAGGTTTTTATCTTATATATTTCTATACTGGAAGACTGTATTACAGAATACATTTGTAATTAGAAAACCAAATGTTATTTTTAAATTATATGTACCAAAGATGACATAAAAATCCTAGTAATGCGAGTTGAAAGCCATAGGGCTGCATATACAGTGTAATTTATCTACAATAAAATTATATATGTAAACTTCATGCCCACATAAGACTCTGACTAAGGACATCATAAAGACAATATCCAAATGGTACACACACGAGAAGGTGCTCACATCTTACCCATAAGTGAAATTCAACAAGATACCTCTACACATCCACCAGAAGAGTTAAAATTGAGAAGGCTGACCATACTAAGCACTCCAAGAATATAAAGTGACTGAAACTCTTACACATTGCTGGGGAAGGGTGAAGTGGCATCCACTTTGAGACACTGGTATGCCTACTAAAGAGAGCATACACCTACTCCACCTACTCCCCCACCCAGTAATCCTATGCCCAGGCCCCTGCAGCCAGAAGAAATGGGGCATAAGACACCAGGACACCAAGAGGATCCAACTTCCCATCTGTTGTACCACTCAGGGCATCAACTGGGAAAGTTTACACTACCCTATCTAATGAAGACTTTGCCCCTTGACTATTCAACAAAACTACATAAGCACTTACATTTTGAGCCAGCAATCCCATTTTTAAGGATTTACTTTACAATATGAAACAAAAGATATTTGTGCAGGGTTACTTGTTGATGTATTCTGAGTAATCACAAAATACTGGTCCCATCAGTGCCCCTGCCTCAAGGAAGCTGATAAAGGATGCCAAAGTTCCCATCATGAAGGTGTGTGTGCGTAGGAGGGAAGCGGGGAGAAGAACAGGGATGGTGACAGATTATCTTAAAGAACTGATCCATCCCTCAGTGGGTGCTAAGATAATGGGCAACCCAGTCACCTGCTTTAGTCACTGTTAATATGTCATGTCCTGAAAACTTTGGCCTTTTCACACCTCCCACTGGACCATGCAGCTGGACTCCAGGTGAGCCCGTTTAGTAGTGCCCCTGTGGGCCTGGTCTAGGGACTGCAAAGCTCACCAGGTGAAGCTCTTTGGCCCTGGGCACTCCTAGGAATAGTTCTCTTTCTTGGCTGCTGCTGATCACCTCACATCCTCCAGGCTCCAAGCTGGTCCATGGGGGAATCATCTACTCTGGGAATTCAGAATTCCTCAAATACATTTACTAGTTCTGTTCCCTAAAAAAGCCTAGAAATAATAACACCAGTGGCAATGAGCATATCTAGCACTCAGACTGGTTTTCTAAATTCCATTCCCCACTAAAAGGAACCAGAGTTCCCTGGAGAAATAGCTGATCCAGTGCTGGGACAGGAAAGGAACTAGGTGAGCCTGGAATAGATACATTGTGCCAGAAAGCAAAGCAGGGCTCAAAGAAGGCTGAAGACGTATCAAAAAGCCACAGAAGCCAATTTGAAGGGGCAATCTAGAGGCCAAATCTGAAACAATTTGAGCTTCAAAAAGAATAATAATATTCTTAATATTGGTATAGATTATAACTTGGCATAAAAAATAATCCACAATAATACTTTTTAAAAGAGGGGCATAAGGAAAAGCATTCTTAACTGATGAAATACTAATGTAGAAAAAATGATAGAAAGTCACCACTTGGCAAATACTAACGAAATAACTAACTTGGAAAAGGATCAGAAATGCAAGCGGAAACCATTTTGTGAGTCTTGGGGAACAGGGTGCTCCATGGTTCTTCTAGTCCATCCAACAAATTACAAAGAAAAAGGTGCCTTGACACTGGAGCAATCTGATGGACGTCAGTGAATCCACTTAAACAAGTGAATCAGTATCACCAGTGTGTGCCTCCTGAGCTGAGGCTATGCGAAAGCCACACTGTCAAGTTTAACCCAAATCGAATCATTAGGAAACAGTCACAGGCAGATTGCGAGGCATCTACAAGTTAACTGGCCTGGACATTAAAAAAAAAAAAAAAAAAGTTAAATGTCATAAAAGGCCTCTCCTCCCCCCCCCCGCCCCCCCAAAAAAGGCAAGAGGACTCTTTGAGACTAAAGGAACTCAAGAGCAAAAAAATAAAATGCATTATGTGATCTGACTGGACCCTGGATTTTAAAAAAGAGGTTCTAAAGAACACTATGGGGGGACATGGAAAATTAAACTATGGATTGTATATTAGAAAATAATGATGTTAGTATTGATGTTAAATTTCTTGGGAGTACTAAAGGCACTGCAAGTTATACAGTGGAACAGCCTTGGTCCTAGGTGAATGTATGGTAAAGGACCATGGTGTCTGACTTCCTTTCCAATGGTTCAGGGGGAGAAGTACACACATGCCCAGAGGGAAGGATAAAGCAAACCTGGTGGGCCAGGTGAGGGGTATACACATCTTCACTGTACTTTTTTTCAACTTTTCTGTATGTTTGAAAATTTTCAAAAAAGTTGGAGAAAAAGAAAAATTTTAAATGTAAGGAGTTTTTAAAAAGCAACTTGCCATTTGAAATAAGCATTTGTAAAATGGACTAAAGAATGAAATAAAGGACACTAAAAAATTACACCAGCCCTCTGAGATACTAGAAATGTCAAGACCCACCTCTGGGAAAAAGTATATGCAAACTGATCTTTTTCTAAGTAGAACAACAATTTTGAAAGTAGAACATGTGGGAAAATGTAAGATAAATTAATTCAACCTGTCCCCTCCAAATAGAAACTAAACTGAATGCCTGTTAAAACTCCAAGCACTAGGGGCTGGCCGAGTGGCTCAGTTGGTTAAGAGCACAAGCTCTGAGCAACAGGGTCACCGGTTCGATTCCCACATGGGCCAGTGAGCTGTGCCCAAGATGAGCTGCCACTGAGCCGCCAACAGGTGGCAGCATGGCTCAGCTGGTGAAAGAACGTGCTCCTAACAACAAGGTTGCGGTTTGAGTCCCGCATGGGATGCTGGGCTACTAAGATTGAACATGGCACCTTGAGCTGAGTGGCCACGAGCTGCCTATGGGCAGCCGAATGGCAACTGGACATGGGAGCTGAGCTAGCTGTGCCCTCCACAACTAAGATTAAAGGACAGCAACTTGGCTGTTCCCCTTCCCCAATTCCCCAACACTGTTCCCCTTCCCCAATTCCCCAATTAAAAAAAACAACAAAAACAAAACAAAACTCCAAGCACTAAATAAAAAGGGCCTCAATAGTCACAGACAGCCTTCCTTAGGCCTCTCGAGATGGGTGTGCTAGCACCCAAGGCCCAAGGCTCTGATTGCTGGCTCTTTCACTTGAGCTGCTATTCAGGGCTGTTTAAGTAGCAGGTCACCTTGAGAAATGAAGTAATGTCTCCCCCTGTCCCCAATCCTGGACAAAAGCAGACTAGCTTACTGCTTGCTATAAAATGGGTGGATTCCCCAAAGTGCAGTGTTTTTCTCTTGATGCATGTGCAGGCACCCTTCTGGGCCCATGACATCATGAGTGGGACTTGGGATCCAGGGGAACCAATACCAACATGCTGATGCCATGTTGCTTGCTATGCTGAGCAATAAGGTCCTTGGTCTGTGACCCAGGAATCACATGTGTTCTGCCAGCATCCATGAAACTAACAGAACTCATTAGCTTATGAGGGGGGTAAAATCAAACTCCAGACCCAACAGCTATTAGGAAGTGATCACAGAGAAAATGGGAAATAAAAGACATACCACTCACTTGTCCACATGTAGCTGCTGGCTGAGGATGTTCTGAAAAGTGTCAAATAAGGAATGGAGATATATCCAAGTTGACAAAGTCATTGAGATTCAAGAAACAATAATAGACTTTGGAAACTAGGAAATAGGCAAGTTTTGACGAGAGCAGGAAAAGTTGGCTGGAACTTAAGCTAACAGAGGCAGTGAGCTTCGTGTTAAGAGCATGAACTCTGGAGCTGACCTCCTGGTTTGAATGTGCCACGTACCTGCCAGTGACCTTGGAAAGCCACTTAACCTCCTCTGTAAAATGGGGCTCGCAATGTACCTACTGCCTCCTACATAAACAGTGATAACGAGTTACTGTATACAACAGTGCCTCGTTCTTAGTAATATTCAACAATTCAACAAGCACTATCGTTCTTCTCATCATCACCCCAAATGGTTTCATCAAATAAGATAGACAATTGAAGGAGATTCTCAGCGTGCTCTTCTGAGAATGCAGAGAACAAGACCAAGCGGTAGTTTGGTGAAACAGGACTATGAAACAGAGTCAGACGGACCAGCAGGAAACCTAACTTGACTCCTCACTAGAATGAGTAGGTCTGAGCACTGGCAAATCACTCAGCTTTACCACCCAGACTATGGGCGAGCTTCACACCCTTCTAGTTGCCTCCACTTATCTGGTCGACAAATTACATTCAGCGTCCACATGAGTAAGACACCAGTCAAGCATCCTGAATAAAGAATGCCTACACAAGGGCTGCACCCACTACTACTTCGCGTGGTTAACGGGCCCTTCAGCATCCGCTAGGACTAAGACCCGCACACCCGCGC